CAAAGTTTTTCTGGTCTGATCGGCAGGGCTGGACCTGAATGTTTGGTCGTTGTCGTGGTATCCAGATAAAAATTTTGATATCTCAATATTCCCAGCCCTACCAGTCAGACAGTGCTGTTTCCCTCCAAGCAACGGCTTCTTCTTCTACTGATTCCCATCAGGCTGCTGTACGCAGCAGCACCCTGGGCTCTGGAGGGAACACGCGTGTCGGTGTCAACTGAAGGAGGCCGCGAGAGACGGAAAAGTATCAATACCACGGGAAGTTAATATCGCTGCTCGACACCAGCTTTAGTGTCGATTTAGTATCAATATTTTTATCAACCCTACTGCCAGTTGACTGTCAGTTGATATGCCCCACAGCTGCATTTGCAGGGTCACGGGAAATGTAGAGAAATCTGATGCGTGACCAGTACAGCTGTAGATTACATTCTCAACATAGCATGTAATGCCCTTACATGACCACAAAGAATGAAATTGTTTGTGAATGGATCAGCTGGTGTATGACTCTATAAGCTTAATAATTATAACCAAACTGACCAATAATAATGGTTAATCAGGAGGCTTTGCTTCATACCTGAATTGTAGTAGTAGTTTATCTACACTTTCTACCTAATTTGCAATTCCCCAGTCACTAAGGTTTCGCAAAACTAGCCTGGTAACACATGCAGCAGAAACTGTAACAAGATTGGAATCAAATCAAACTTAACCTTTTACTCATGATTTCTAAATTTTGGCATTTGTAATCTACCTGGGGACCACTGAAGTCTTGTGTTATGCATATTTGTCATAAAAAACAAACATGCATTTTGGTTCTTTCATAGATTTATTATAGGTCTTCTGAAAATATGTCTACGTTTGATCATTTAAAAATATGCCTACAGCAAGTAAAAATATCAGTTTTGGCCATGTTGTGTTATTAAAATGTTCTTAGTGATGTGACCTCCTCCCCTTCTCTAAGCCAATTTACATTGGGCACTACAATGGGAAAGTCGATGGAGCTGAGTGTAGATCTAAGGAAGCAAATTACTGACTGAACAAGTCAAACAAGTCTTTGTAAGGTCTTTACCTTACTATGGTAAGCGCTATGTGATGACGTGTTGTAAACTGCGATATACAAATAAAATTGAATTGAATTTAGCGTTTCATTATAAAATAAAATACTGGTCTTGTAGGCATTATCACACACTCTTCAAGCTATGATCATTAAAACTGTCAACCAGACATAAAACATTCAGCAGCATTTATCCAAGAAACAGGCCTTTAGAACTCAGGAGTGACCTAAAAGTATAGTCATATATATATATGTGTGTGTGTGTGTGTGTGTGTGTGTGTGTGTGTGCGCATACTGTGTGTTAGTGTGTGTGTGTGTGTGTGTGTGTGTATGTGTAACTGCTCCATGCAGGGACCTGGTCATAATAACATGTTTTAGTCAGTCAAACATGCAATCAATTAACAGAAGGATGCAAGTGAGCTGAGCTCCACCGGAGACAATTAGAGCAGCAGCAGCTGTCAGCCAGAATTCATTATTAGCACTGTGAATATTGATGTGAAAACAGTGACAACAAAGAGACTGCACAATAACACACACATTGCAATGACACAAGGCAGAGGCCCAGAGGCATGCACTAATTAAAGAAAATGATATTTTATGTGTAAATTGTCCAGTACATGAACACAATACAGAAGAAAGAAAGCAATAAGGTACAAATTCAGTTTTATTTTTCAGATGTGACTGCCATCTCATTTAACACTGCACTCAGGAAAATAATGCTTAGTTGAGAGCAATGGCTTGACTACTCCAGACTTTTTGACCTGTCTGACCTTTTCTTTATCAGTGCTTTATCCCTATCAACCTCTCATTCCCACATACAGCTGCACAACAGGTACATTGTATTAGAAATTAAAGCAATGTTCATTGCTCGAAACTTTGTTACTATTTGTTAAAAGAATGTGCATTTATTACAGTAATATGTATTCATCTCTCAGTAGGTTGATACATAATGATGCAGCTAAATATCTTAGGTAGTCTGGATCAGTCTAACAGCTGGTCATGCTGTGGAAAAACAAGCGGATGATCCAGAAGTATGAAAAGCTGTCGTCATGTTTGTCAGGACAAAAAAAACCCCAAACTATTGGTACAGCATGGATTTAATGAAAGATGAAAACAATTTAAATCCATCACAAACTTGCTATTTGTTTTATCAGCATCTTTGACAACAGCTGACTGACTAAATGAATGAAATTTAATTTAATTCTTTATTATGCTGATTTGTATTAAACTGAGCTGGGCCAGTGCAGTATTTATCTTATATTGCACTAATTCAATTTCAGTAATCACAAAAGGATTTTTGCATTTTTTTACAGAGAAAATTACATCGACAAAGTGGGTAGATCTGTGACAAAGTACATTATACTGGATTTATCAGGGCAGCAGATATTTTTGTAGTTACTGAGTTGTCTTAAGGGAATTAGAACTGGTTTACTTCCATAATTTTTATTACCACTATACTTTTGCTAAATGTTAGCTTAAGAATGAAAGTATGGCACTACTTATGAAAAAAAATAAAAATCTTGATATTCATGGAGGCAAAAGAAGGTTCCAGCAGTAATATGAACAATAGCAATAATGATGGAAACTCATGGTCGAGCACCAGCATTTATCAACAACGCAAGGCTGCTCTAAGTGAATGATCTCATTTTCTGGTAGCACTCTGAAGACGCGAGCAGTGTCGTAATGAAATCTCTGCTTCTGCGTAATAGCTAACCGAAGAGACACCGAGCTACAGAAAGAGTCCCGCTGGGACCAGTAAGGCTCAAACAGAGGGCCGTGTGTCTCTATATGACTGTCTTGAGTAGGAGCCACTGGGGTTAATGTAGTTGTCTGCCAGAATAACACACTTTACTGTCAAAGAGCAATACAGTTAAAGTTAGATATGTAACATGTTACGCGCGCGTGTGTTTGTACATGCGTGCGTATGTGTACTTGTGTATTCTTCTCCTCAGCTTTAGAGGTGTTATAAGGTGAATGTTACAATCATTTTAGCCTCAATTAGATTTTCAAAGTAGGCCCGGTTCTTTTGATATCATTTGATACAATTTAGGATGTACCTATACACCACTCACTGTTCTCTCACTCCATCTATCTACTTTCATTCCCCATCTCTCCTCAACCATCCACTCTTTTATCAGTGCATTCCACTGAGCAGATTCCTGCAGGCTTGGTGTTGTGTCCTCTCCATCACCTGGGATAATTCCATCATCATTCGTTCTGGGCCTGTTTGATTCATTTAACACAAGCAGGCTGCCGTTTGTATTTGTCTGTTTTTATATTGAGCACTACCTTTTCTTTTTTCTTGAGTTATTTTTGCAGAGTGCCTTTGGAGAGAACATCCTCTCCCAGGACTCAGATAGCAGCTGCAGCACACACACAAAACACAGCATAATGCAATAAATTGCCAAGTGAGGGTTTTAGATGAGCATCATTACAGAGCTCTGTGTGGGCAGAAGGATGTAAAGACCATAAAGTACTTAAAAACACCAACAGTCCTCCTTCTCCTCTGTATCTGTATAATGTATTCTGTAAAAACACACACCACCTAATTCGTCATTTTTTTGGACTGCTTTAGGGAGGGTAAATGATAACTAGCATAATTTTGACTGATGTTACAGCACACACTTTAACTAAGTTTCATTAGGTCCATTAGCATATCCCTACAGAGAGATAAGCAGAGATACAGAGCTTATGTTTCCCTGGTCACACAGCTGTTTCTCTTAAATTCTGTTAAAATGTGTGTGTGACTACAGGCAGAAAGTGTGTTGGAGAGATAAAAACAGGTTCAGACTGACAGTTGTATTTTTCTGTCTCCATGAGCAGGGGAAGGTCCTCTAAATGATTAAAGATGAGCATATTTTTTAAAACGTCTATGCAACATTTGAGATGTGGGGAGGACCTTAAATGAACAACATGTAACTTGCTTGTAGCTGTACAAAGCTGTTTGCGCTTCTTGATTTGTTGTTGAGAAGCTGCTGCCTGCTCAGACTGAATGAAGTATTGTTGTACCATTCCTGCTGATTAATGCTGACCCAGGTGT